CTAGCAATGAATGCTGGTATCACAGCAATTACTGGTATTTAATCTGTACCTTCAGAAAAAGGAAGCAAAAAAAAAAAATGGAGAAGAATGGGTGAGTGTTTTGCTTGTACTCAGCTTCAAAGCCAATTCATTTTCTCACATATTATTTGTGTGTTATTCAGAGTGAGTAACTAATCCTACTATGCTCATGAGGAAAAAACTATTCCTAAGTTTCTTTACCACATTTGTTCAATAAAAGTTCAAACATTGCACTAGTTGACCAATAAAACAAGGTGGTTCGTGTAGTTACTAATTCAGTTTCAATGGCAAACTTGCAAGTTCTTACAAAAGCAGAGTTCACATTGTTGTTTAATAGAAGCATACGTGACAGATATAGCACTTTCCTGCAATATCTTTGGGAGATGTTACTGTATTAAGTTTATGCATCATTGTGGGCCAAACATAGTATAAAATTCCACTGTGGGGTGTAGTGGGAAGGACAACAGCTCATCCAGGAACTAAGAACAGTGGGGGGTAATCAGGCAAATTCATTCAGGCTATAACTCCTCCAGCAAAGTACCACCACTTCGCATATACTTTACTCTGGATTGTCTAGAGACCAGACAGACAAAGAAAGGACTTTTAGAAAAATAGCCTGAGTTTAAACTGACTTAGAGCCTTCTTTCTGATCCAGCAAACAGACAGGACCTTCTGTCCAAGGGGGGCACCAATTCTTACTGGGAAGGATTGGAAGGCCTTTGGCCTACTGAGGCCCCATAAAACTTATGGGTGACCTCTAGTATTAGCATACATGTAGGGTTTTTTGTTTGTTTGTTTTTTAAATATGTTTTCTCTGCAATGCTTTCACCTTAAGAATAAATGCGTTTGCTGGGACAAAGTCAGATTGGACAGCTATAAGGGAGTGATGGAAGGCATATATAACAGCCCTAGAATGGTAAAGGCCCTTTTCCTTATGAGTTGAAAAGAGGCTCTCTCAGGTCACTGTCACCACCAAAGGGGGAAACACTGAGCCCAGTGAGGTGAAAGAGGTACCTTGCCACATTGCTTATAAAGCGCTTTGTGGTAACTCATAACTACTGGCTGGCAATGACATTGTTCATAGCCTTCAATGAGAACGCAAAGCTCCTGTTTAGGCAAACTGGCTTGCTGGGAATATCACAGTTTAGGCAAGGAAGAGTACAGCCTGGAAAAAAATCCTGTCAGAAAGGAGAGAAATGCAGGCCTTGTTGTATTCATTTAGATGGAATAAATGGCCAAAGGTGTTAACATAACCCAGGTCCTCCAGGAACCCAGTCACTGTCCAACATTAAACAGTGTTAAAGTCCATGGTTTGGTATACAGAGACCTTAGCCTGCTTAGTACCATGGCAAATACACCATTAAAAAGCCTTTTAACCTTTTATTAAAAGACAAAGAAAAGAAGGAAATACAATTAAGCATTTGAAATATAAAGTATTAAGTAAGGCTTTCATTTTAACAATATCCCTTTTTCTCTTTAGCAGGAAAAATCTCCTTTTCTCACAGTCTCTTAGTTGGTATCAAAAATGGGAATAACTGTCCTTTTGCGGAAAAGAGTAGAAGTTGAGATGGGTTGGAACTGTGGCCCAATCCCACTTCATTCCAGGTAGTGTTGGGGTTTCATCTGGAGCCGGTGAAGGTGGTGATGGCACCTGGGTCCCTCTCTCTTTGGCCTACTCTGGAGACATCTCTCAGGATTAGGATGAAGAAGGTTCAGGGTCCCAGGAGATGGTAGAGGTGGCAGCCACAATGGTGAAGCTTGCTTCAATAGACTCATAGATATTAAGGTCCGAAGGGACCATTATGATCATCTAGTCTGACCTCCTGCGCAATGCAGACCACAGAATCTCACCCACCCACTAATGCAATAAACCTCCCACCTATGTCTGAGCTATTGAAGTCCTAAAATCATGGTTTAAAGACTTCAAGGTGCAGAGAATCTGCCAGCAAGTGACCTATGCCCCATGCTACAGAGGAAGGCAAAAAACCCCAAGGGCCTCTTCCAATCTGCCCTGGAGGAAAATTCCTTCCTGACCCCAAATATAGCAATCAGCTGAACCCTGAGCATGTGGGCAAGATTCACCAGCCAGATACCCAGGAAAGAATTCTCTGTAGTAACTCAGATCCCACCCCGTCTAACATCCCATCACAGGCCATTGGGCCTATTTACCATGAATAGTGCATGTGTGTGAAGGGCTAACAGGACCTGGTCATTTGTTTGTTTATTATCTACCCTTTGGTTCTTTATTTGAGTGTGTTCACATAAAAGCAGACATTTTCTTCCACCCATTCTATTGAAATAATCCATAAAGCTCTTTTAAAACAAACCCTGGGTTAAGTAAAATAAACACTATTAATAAATAAATGATAGAAAAAAGAAAAACACTTACCAGAAAAGAAATCCAATGAAATTAAGTGAATTTTTTTTTCTGGCTTTTTCCCCCCATTTTGTACATTTGACAGCACGTAGGCCCTTATTCAGCAAGGCAATTAAGTACATGCATGACTTTAAGAATGTGAGTAGTCAAAGCATCCATTCCCCAGTCCTTCTTCTGCATTTTCTCTTCTGTACACTTTGAAGTTAAAAGAAGCCCAGTTCCTTCTCAACTGCTACTGAACACTGCATCTGAGCTGGAAGGGCAAGTGGTTGTTTCTCTTTAAAACACTGATCCTGGCTCTCCTCACTGGCTTCTCCTACAGCCTGGCCATAACACTCAGAGTTTAAGGAGCAGATGGGCAGTTCTTCAGCTGAAGCTTGCTATTGGAGAGGGTGAAAAGATGGTGGAGAGTACAGAAGGGCAGGCTGAAAGCTGTTTCCTTCCCTCAGGACTCCAGCAGTCTTTTATGCAGCACAGTTTACTCTTATCATAGAATATCAGGGTTGGAAGGGACCTCAGGAGGTCATCTAGTCCAACCCCCTGCTCAAAGCAGGACCTATCCCCAATTAAATCATCCCAGCCAGGGCTTTGCCAAGCCTGACCTTAAAAACTTCTAAGGAAGGAGATTCCACCACCTCCCTAGGTAACGCATTCCAGTGTTTCACCACCCTCCTAGTGAAAAAGTTTTTCCTAATATCCAACCTAAATCTCCCCCACTGCAACTTGAGACCATTACTCCTTGTTCTGTCATCTGCCACCACTGAGAACAGTCTAGAGCCATCCTCTTTGGAACCCCCTTTCAGGTAGTTGAAAGCAGCTATCAAATCCCCCCTCATTCTTCTCTTCCGTAGACTAAACATCCCCAGTTCCTTCAGCCTCTCCTCATAACTCATGTGTTCCAGTCCCCTAATCATTTTTGTTGCCCTCCGCTGGACTCTTTCCAATTTTTCCACATCCTTCTTGTAGTGTGGGGCCCAAAACTGGACACAGTACTCCAGATGAGACCTCACCAGTGTCAAATAGAGGGGAATGATCACGTCCCTTGATCTGCTGGCAATGCCCCTACTTATACATCCCAAAATGCCATTGGTCTTCTTGGCAACAAGAGCACACTGTTGACTCATATCCAGCTTCTCGTCCACTGTAACCCCTAGGTCCTTTTCTGCAGAACTGCTGCCGAGCCATTCGGTCCCTAGTCTGTAGCAGTGCATTGGATTCTTCCGTCCTAAGTGCAGGACTTATAAAATCCTACGTCGCAATCCTGTATCTGCTCTGAAGGCAAGGGGCATTTTGCCAGAAGGGATACAGACTTGGGCCCTTTAGCTTTTTAGGAGAAAGTAAGACAGAGATGAAACTGGTTGCTGGCAAATGTCAACTGAGTTCACGAGAAACAGGAAAAAGAAGGGTCCAAGCAATCTAGGCAGGCTATAAAAATAATGTTTTTTAAAAAGGTATAAATAGTTCCTGTTTTCCTTATCCTTTCACCATGAACTATTTTTTGCATTATTAAAATACAAATTAGCTTTTAAAGTGGCTTTGCTTTTAAATGTAAAATGAAGGCATCATCAACTAATACAGGGGTGACCAACCTGAGCCTGAGAAGGAGCCAGAATTTACCAATGTACATTGCCAAAGAGCCACAGTAATAAGTCAGCAGTCCCCACATCAGCTCCCCCACCCCACTCCCAGCGCCTCCCACCCACCGGCAGCCCCATCGATCTGCACCTCCCCTTCCCTCCCCGCACTTCCTGATCAGCTGTTTCGTGGTGTGCAAGAGGCTCTGGAGTGGGAGGGGGGAGAAGTGAGGGCACTGCAGGCTCAGGGGAGGGGGCGGGAAGGGGTGGAGTGGGAGCAGGGCCTGTGGCAGAGGCAGGGTTTGAGCAGTGAGCACCACCCGGCCCGTTGGAAAGTTGGCGCCTGTAGCTCCAGTCCCAGAATTGGTGCCTATACAAGGAGCCACATATTAACTTCTGAAGAGCTGCAGGTTGGCCACCCCAATCTAATAACTATGGCAGGGTGTACATTAGCATAGGATATTGATGCACTTCTTGTGTCACTGAAGATATAAAGCTCATTCTGAGATAGGCACCACTATCTGGCTAATGCTTTCCCTGTTGTGCTTCAATGTTACATTAACTTGCTTATAAACAGGTGAAAGTACACTAATATACCTTAAATTGCAAAAAGTTTACTTCGTTTTGAGGTTCACAAGGGATTTTCCCCAATTCTTTCATCTAATAAAGCAGATATTTGCCATTGCTGATTTCTTTTGGCCACTGGATGTCCAAGGAAGCTGTGCCAAATGTTTGAAGTTGTCTACCCAAGTTAGTTACCCATTAGGAAAACAAAACCCACAAATTCTCTTATAAACTAGAATTTACAGCTACAAAACTGCACTGACACCTCTTGAAAAAAGGGGTTTTCTGGTATTAAGAAAAATCACAGGAAAGCACACATTCTGAAGATTTGCCAAACAACTTTTGATTGGAAATAAAAGGTAGCAAACCTTTTGAATTATAGACAGCGTGCCCCCAGTATAAGTATCCTGGAACATTTAGCATACCATTTTGTACACCAAAATCAAGAGAGACTTGATGTTCAGAAGTTTTATTTAAAAGTCTGTTGCTAACAATAAAGCTAGAGCAGTTGCAAGATTTACTTGTTCTGTTCAGACCCCACAGGACTATGAAAATGAAATATAAATAAAAACTCTGGCTGACCTGGCTGATTGCAACTATATTTAGGGTAAAACATGTTCCAGTTCAGTCCTGAGCCACTGGTGTCTACAAATGTAAGTGGGATCTGTTCTCTTCTAACAGCAACAGGTGGCAGAACCTTCTAGCGGTAGCAAAAATGTTAGACACGCAGGAGGATTACAACTACAAGGGAACTTCTGAGGCAAACAGAATTACATCTCTGGCCCTCTTGGTCCAGCAGTATGGTAGTTGGGAGTTTTGTTGTTGTTTTTTTAAAGTCAGGAGAACAATACAGCAATATCTAGAACGTTGTTGTCAACCCACAGAAACTACAAACTACACCAAGTATTCTAGATTATTGCATTAGGCATATGTAATGACAGCTGTAAAGGGAAGTCTTCAGTAACCCAAGGCAGGAACAAGAATGATAAAGAGAATGGAACTAGGTCAGAGGTGGGCAAACTACAACCCAGAGGCTCGTGAAGCTTCAGGTGTTGGAGGCAGCTGGTGGTGATAAGAACCCAGATGTTGGGGAAAGTGCGTTGGCGGTGACATGGGGGCACAAGGAAAAAAGTTTTGGGACAAGGGCTGCGGGGGGAGGGAGGGAGGGTGTGGTAGTGTTTCACCTGCATGGCTACAAGCGCCTGGATCGAGTCCGCTTGGCACTCCATGATGTTTATCAGCCAATCCATGCTTTGCTGCCAGAGCACCGTGCTTTTGTGCCAGCACTCCTCATTCTGCTGGCGGATCCTCCTTTCACTCTCCCTCCACTCCTGCGCTTTTAGATTCTCATTAAGGGACTGCTGCATGACTTCATGCAGCATGTCTTCTTTGCGTCTATGTGGCCTCTTCCTAATTCTTTGGAGTCTTTCGGCCGGTGATAACATGGACGGCTGAGATCTCAAGGTTGCATCTGTAAAGGCAAAATGCAACACTTAACAGAGGCAGCATTGTTCACACCAGACAGAGCAAGGATTCCCCCATACTTAAGGGCAAGCACCATCTACACAATAGCATAATTTGCCCGTCCCAAAGCAAGCGCACATAACCCACAGGAGCCCCAAAATGGTGAGTAAGCACAGGGTCAAGGGGGACTGATTGTTTCACGGCCGTACTGTCCTCTGGGTTTCTGTGCCTTGGGGAGAGCCAACAGCTGCAGGGGTCCCCTATTCTGAACACTGTCCCCACATTTTCCACAGGAGTTCGTCCTGGAAGATATCTCGCTGCTGAAGGTGACCTGGGAAGCAAGGGAGGGTCTTCTATTACAATGCGGTTGAAGAGATCACTGAGGCAGATTACCGCAATGTGAGAGAGAGCACATAAACGCCATGTTCCACATCTAGGCATGCATGCAGCCTTAATGCTCCTCACCCTGAGAGCCCGCACCGAGTAACTTCCTTCCCAAAATAAAAGCCACTTACTGGGAGCTTCCTCTGGTGTTTGTCCTGCCCCAAGCACCGGCTGCTGCAACTGGCTACCTTCCTTCTGGCTTTCGAACAGCTCCTGGCTGCATGCATTTAGGGATGCTGGGGTGTCTTCCTCCGCCTCAGCACCCTTGCTCCTGCTTTCCTCCTCCTCCTCCTCCAGCCTTGTTGAACTGGGCTCTGAAGTGTCAATGGTGGTCCTTGGCGTGGAGGTGAGGTCGCCACCAAGTATCGCATCCAGCTCTTTGTAGAAACGGCAGGTCCCAGGGGCACCACCGGAGCAGCGGTTTGCCTCTCGGGCTTTGCCATAGGCATTCTGCAGCTCCTTCACTTTAACCCTGCACTGCAATGCGTTCCAGTCATGGCCCCTTTCCAGCATGTCTCTTGATATCTGCCCAAAGGTATCGTAATTCCTATGGCTGGAGCGCAGCTGGGACTGGACAGCTTCTTCCCCCAAACACTGATGAGGTCCAGCACCTTGCCATTGCTCCATACTGGCGATCGCCTGGCGCGTGGAGGCATAGTCACCTGGAAAGATGCGCTGAGAGCACTCCACGCCTGGCTGAGCAAACAAGAAGGGGATTTACAAAATTCCCAGAGAATTTAAAGGGTGAGTCTGATGGTTGGTCACCTGAGGGCAGGGCAGTAGAGTTCAAAGTGATGACCAGAGTGGCTAGGACAGGCATTGTGGGACACTTCTGGAGGCCAATCAGAGCGCACTAACAGAACACGGCGTCCACACTGGTGCCATGGCGCTCCAGCAGACGCACAGCAAACGTTATTTCACTCGCTGAGGCGCAGTACCAGCAGCGCTCTAGCCGCCAAGTCAGAGCACTCTGCGTGCCTTGCCAGTGGGGGGGACGTGTCGTGAGTTAGGGCACCCAGGGCTGCTTTAATGCAAAGTAACTCACAAGTGTAGCCAAGGCCCTAATAATTAAAAGGCAGAAGGCCAAGAGAGTGAGCTCACAAGGCCATATTTTCAAAAAGGGCTGCAACACAGCTTGTTTGTGGACGCTCGGCTTTACGTGCACAAATATCTGCACACACTTTCTGAGCACCAGCACTGGGCATACCATTGATGGGTTTTGTGTATGTAAGTTTTGTTACCTGTAGGCATGGATGTTTATTGGAAGTGTGACCCTGAACTTTCAAGGCTAGAGGAAGCCCCACTTTTGATGGGCCAGTCAAGTTGTGTGTTGTCGAAGGGAGGACGACGTGATTAATGGTGATGCAGCTTGCCTGTGTGCAGCAATATAATCTAGATCTGAATTTTAATAATCTTTTTTTAATAATCTAGATCTGAATTTATATTCTATTATTTTTCCAACATCATCTTCAGATTTCATAGCACTCTCATCAATGATGTTACCTCCAAAGTACACCTGGGAAGGCTTAGCAACTCTGTTTAATTATAAAAAAAAACAGATCACATTTTAGTACCAACTGCAGCAAAGGGTTCATTCTCACATTGATTTCTTATGCTAGCTATCAATACCTACCAAGTGAGTGACAAAAGCAATTCAATAACCACTTAAGCAGTAGCAGTAATTGGAGCCAAATTAACTTGATTGCTTGTTCTATAATGAAAAGGAAATGGCAGTGTTTATTTTAAATTTTAACAGTTTTCACATTACAATAAAATTGCCTTTACAAAACAAATTGAAGCCATTCCTTAATGTTTACAAGTATATGGGAAAACACCAAGAGAAAAGGTAAAAACAATGAAAAACCTTATGTTTTCAACTTCAGAATAATATCCAAGTCAGTTTTGTCAACATTAACTTTAGTTGTACTTAAAATCAGACAAAAGGTTACCTAAACAAGAAAAAAATCCAGACAGTAAGATACTAAAGTAATGTATTTTTGCAAGCACAAACTTTGCTTTACATGAAAAAAATACATCACAAAGAATTCTGAAATGTTAGAAACAGAGATGAGCTCCAAACCCCAAGACATGAACACCCTTTAACTTAGGGAAAGTTCAGGTCAAGGTCCAGAGCCTAACTTTGCAGGTTGGGCCTATCTCTAATTAAAAAAGAAAAAAAAAACGAGCCACTTTTGCTGGAATTTCTCTTGAATAGATTTCCAGGCTCACATTCCATGATCCATGAAATTGACAAGCCTGCCCAGCTCTCCACAGTGAGCAGGCAGGCAAGGGGGCCAAAAAGCCGGGGCAGCTGGACTCTGTTCCCCAGAGGCAAGAAACCCTGGGCGACTTCACCCGGCAGGAACAAGGAGTAAGGTGGGAGGGTGGCAGCCCGCCGGGAACCTGTGAGGTAGCCAGGGTCCCGCCAGGGAACTACCAGCACAGCTGAGAGACTGGGCTCTCAGCTCCCCACACTGCCATTCTTAGGTCTGTGAAAGCACTCCAGGTGAGGATGCGAAACGTCAACCAAAGGAGGGTAGTGTGGACATGCACCACCACAGTAATTACTCTGATGGCTGTAAGTCAACCGAATAGAGATCGATTTACATTTCTAGTGTAGACATACCCTGAGAGAAACTAGCATTTGCTAGAGCAATGCAGGGAGGTGCTCCTCTAAGGGTATGTCTACATCTCGAGCTGGGGTGTAGTTCCCAACTCAAGGAGACACACACATGCTAACTGTCATCGAGCCAGCATACTAAAAACTGAGTGTAGCTACAGCGGTGCAAGAGGGGCAAGCTGCCCTGAATACAATCCTGTCTGAAACACTCGGCACATACTTAGGGCAGCTAGCCCCTCGTGGTACTGGCTCCTCCAAGACTATTTTTAGTGTGCTAGCTTGATGAGAGCTAGTGTGCATGTCTTGTCTCCTCAAGCTGGGGATTACATCCCTGGCTCGACATGTAGATATACCCCGAGTTCCAGAAGCAAACCTCCCAGGACACCTTGACCCTGCAAAGATTAATTGCATAGTGCTCGTGTGATGTGGGACACGCATTCACAAGGATGAGACAACTTGATTAATTTTCACTTGTGATCAAAGTTAAATTTCAACCTGTCTCCTGGAGTGCAAAGTTAGTTAGTGTGTTAACCAGCTGTCAATTTCCTGGCTTTTATAATATGATTCATATGAATGATCAGAACTGGCATTTTGCTTCTCACTGAATGGTAAATTACAAAGCCAGAAGAAAAAGTGTTTGTCTCTCTTATTCGTTGATATTTTTTAAAAAGAGACTTCAAGAAAATTTTTACAAAATTACGTTGTTTTTCCCCTTTAAAAATGTTTCTTGTATCTTGGCTTTCCTGTATTTCCTGGAGGATCCTCTATAGAACTAATCGGATTATGATGCTATAAATGACTGAAACCTGAACATCTATGTAAAGCTTCAGATGTCTTGCATTTTTCCAAAGTGCCATGCCTCTGAAGAAGTGCTTCTTTCAAGTGGGACTTTCCCCGCCTTAGGTCTAGCAGATGCAAGGAAAGTCTGAATTTGGCCCTGAAATGTTATAGGCCAGATTGGCACAAAGCATGCACTGCAATATGGCCACTCAGTGGAATGCAAATTAACCCAAAAGCCACTGTAGCCAGCAGGAAGATTGTACCAGTGTAGTGGGATCATTGGGTAGCTTAGATGTCCATTTTAGGGTTTTATGCTGCTTCCCATCACTGTAATATCTAAGCACCATGATATATCCTCTACCATCACCCCTCCCTGCTGCCAGCATACAGGATATGGCTGGGCTTCCCTGTGCTCTGGTGACTGGTGTGTGCCACAATGGCCTCCTGGGAATCCTCAGGCTACTTTAACACACAGCCACTCCAGGACTGGGGGAAGCATAAAAAGGAGCTAAAAGCCACTTTTGCACAGACACCTTCTTGAGCTTTGCTGTAGCGGAGGATCTGGGCCTGCAGAAGGTGCACAGAGCAATGCCTATTGTGGAGGTTGCCCAGTGTAATATATTTTTGTGGAACAAAACTTCTTATGCTTAAAATGCTCTGCAAGGCTGAGCACAGGTGGCAACGGGTGTTTAATTACCTGTGCTGGCTTTGTATTTATTCCATTCTTGGATCCGTGATATATGAACACCTTGCCAAAATCATCATATGGTGCCCCCATGGCAATATCTGTTGAAAAGAAATTAGGAGATTAAGACAAACGCTATCCTGATGAATGGTTACATTCATGATAAAATAAGATGCTCTGAATCTTGTTTTAGAAAAATGTATGGACATTCATATTTTCTTATCTGGAAATCCATCCTGATTAATATCACCAATATTTTCAACTGCAATACCAAACAGACTCAGTGGTCCCACTGAGGTGAATTGGCATTAGTCCTTCCCATTTGCCTTGTTGGTTAACATAGATGTACACAGCACCCCCAGTTACTCCATCTCTGTTAAAATATCGTGGACCTCTATAACAATATGTTGCCAACTTAAAATGAAACAAAGTACAGCCATTTTAAAAGAATTGTGAAAAATAAATGAACTTACCTGGCAATTTAAAAACAACAGGCTCAATATAATTTAAGTAAACTAGTTAGACAAAGAGGTAGCTGCTGAGCAAAGGTCACTAGGAAGCACTTTAAATTGGTTCAGTTATAAAAGATAGCCTGTTGACTTTTAGTAAAGGAACAAATTGAGTTTGTGGCTCTCCGCCCCACCCCTGCACCCCCCTTCTTTGCAACGTATAAAGAAGGCCAAAGAGGATTTTTGTTTGAGTGTGAAATCTCTTTTTCTTGCCCCCTTTTAAAAAATAAATAAATTACCCTTTCAAGACTTATTCATCTTTTTATCTAACTGGATTCCCCTAACAATGAGTGGAAAAGAAGTCTAAAACTATTCAATACCTATGGCTCTTCAAGTAAATGCTGAGAAAGCACTCCGTGTAGTTCTCCGAGACCCTCAGCATATCCTACAACAAAACCAAGAAAGCCCAGATTTAATATTCTTAATATTCCTAACATAAAAACCAAGCAGAAAAAAAACAAACTTCTTTATATATCGTAGACAACTAAAAAAAGACCACAACCCCATGCCTCCAATCCCCACCACCACCATCTCACCCCCAGGTGATGGTCGAAGAAATATAATATTATATGGGTATGTGTTTGTGTATATTCACCCACATACACAAATACAAACACAGATCAGAAAGATGTTTCTTTCTCTTGACACTATTTAGTTTTTCCAAAGATTCCATTCAGCCTCTTCTTGTTCACCAATTTATCTTTCTGATTTGCCAACAGCACCTATCATTTGACTGAGCAATGTTTTTTCCTTCTTTATTCTTTGCATTAAGTGGGACCGTTTTCTTTTGCTCTTCTTCATGAGCACCACACACATTGTTATCAGTGTCAGTCCATGCTAATGATTAAAGCTTTTAAAAGCGTATCTGTAATTACCATGCTGCACTTGAATTATTAAGGACAGCCATTAGCTGTGTAAAGAAGCCTTAGGAGTTAAAGAACTGGTGTTGGATGCAATTTTTATGCTCTCAGGACACACACAATGAAGACTTAACAGTCATTCCCAGAAACTCAAGTTTTACCAGAGCTCCCAATGTTACATGCCGGCGGCCATGTGACCCAGGACTATGGATCCACAGATAGTACTTACTGTTAGAGAGTGATTATAATCACTCCATGAGATTTTGCAGGAGTTAAACATCTCATTAGTTTAGTGTTTGCAGTATTGCTGTAACCGGGCTGGTCCCAGGATATTAGAGAGACAAAGGGGGTGAGGTAATACCTTTTAGTGGACCAACTTCTGTTGGTGAAAGACACAAGCTTCGGAGCTCTTTTTCAGGTTTTCTGTGTAGCTTGAAAGCTTGTCTCTTTCACCAGCAGAAGTTGATCCAATAAAAAATATTACCTCAGCCACTTGTCTCATTACATTAGTAGCTCTTGTAGGGAGGTTTCAGAGTAGCAGCCATGTTAGTCTGTGTTCGCAAAAAGAAAAGGAGTACTTGTGGCACCTTAGAGACTAAATTGGTTAGTCTCTAAGGTGCCACAAGTACTCCTTTTCTTCTTGTAGGGAGGTACATCAACAGATCTTAAATTTCAAACTGGCCTGTAAAGGTAGAGGAGGATGTGAATGACTAAATATGGGTTGCATTTTACAGGGTCCATAAATGAATTACTTTCTGTTTGTATTTTATGTTATTGCAACAGATTTGGATAGCAAGTGCTCCAAAAGTCTGAAGAGGTTTACCACATGTGCTTAATCCTACCTAAATAACAGCTAGAATAGGAGCTGGACTTTCATCACCAACTTCATAAGGCTCATGAAAGATACCCATGTCAAAAAATGTATGACTTTTTTACTCTGCATGAACCACCCCCGAAAGGAATTAAAGGGTAAAATACAAATGGATGGTTGACAAAAGAGGAAAATAATAGATGAATGGTTCCTGACTGACATTAGCAATATTTTATTGTCATTGTATGAGTTGGGAGGAAGAATAGCAGCACATGGTGTGAAGTTAATTTTTAAGAACCAATGAATTTGTAAATTTCAAGTTGTGACATCTTCAAAAGCAAACTAGGGAAATGTGGTCTACGTGAAATTACTACAAGGTGGGTGCATAACTGGTTAAAACACCAAGCTAAAAAAAAAGAGTAGTTATCAATGGCTCACAGTCAAACTGGAAGATGCATCTAGTGGGGTCTCACATGTGTCAATCCTGGGTCCAGTACTAGTCAATATTTTCATTAATGACTTGGATAATTGAGTGGAGAGTATGGTTATAAAATTTGTGGTCAACACCGAGCTAGGAGGGTTTGCAAATTTGAGCCAACAGCGTGATGCAGTTGCAAAAATAAAAACCCCAAATACAACTCTCAGATGTATTAACAATAATGTTGTATGTAAGACACAAGAGGAAACTGAACTGCTTTTATTTGACACTGGTAAGGCCTCAGCCGGAATACTGTGTCCAATTCTGGGCACCACACTTTAGGAAAGATGGACAAATTGGAGAGAGTCCAGAGGAGAGCAACAAAAATGTTTAAAAGGTTTAGAAAACCTGACCTATGAGGAAAGTTTAGAAAAAGCTGGCCACGTTTACTCTTGAGAAAAGAAAACTGAGGAGAGACCTGATAACAGTCTTCAAATATGTTATGGGCTGTTTAAAGAGAACAGCGTTCAATTGTTCTCCATGTCCCTCGAAGATGGGACACGAAGTAATGGGCTTAATCTGCAGCAAGGGAGATTTAGGTTAGATATTAGGGAAAACTTTCTATCTAGAAGGATAGTTAAGTTCTGGAATAGGTTACCAAGGGAGGTTGTCAAATTCTCATCATTGGAAGTTCATACGAAGAAATTGGACAAACTTTCGTCAGGCCTGGTCTAGGTTTACTAGGTTCTGCCTCAGGGCAGGGGGCTGGACTTGAGGACTTCTCAAGGTCCCTTCCAATCCTATATTTTTATGATGCTATGAAAAATCTCATGCATCTGGGAATCCTGATGTAGCAACTTTATGCTATTATAAAAGTGATCTGAAAAATATGGTCTGAATTAATAAAATTGCCAACAAAACATTGAACAAACTGGTTGTGAACGCTCTTCACTCGGCATATCAATTTGCTATTTTAATGAAAGCCTTACAAGACTAGATCCATAAGATTTCAAAAATACTGATGGTAAAATCAATATCCAATTACCACTAAATGCAACCAATAATATAATCCAGTAATTTTTTTTAAAAAAAGGGAAAAAATTAGATCACAAACCCCTACTCAATAAAAATGGGTGCTTCCCTTTTGACAGGCATATTTAACAATATACCAAGTACAAATATGTTTTTCCATGATATGAAAGAATACTCATAAAACTGATGTACTCCCATAGACACTCTCTGCAATTAAAGTAAAGCAATCTCTGAACTCAATATGCTCTTTCAGCTTGGTCAAATTTTCTTGACAGAAGCAGATATTTGGAAGATTAAGTTTTCACAAAAGTATACCTTGTGCCAGAGCTTAACTCAAAGATTTTTCATGGTTCATGTGCCAGACACAGGTGTATGAAGGAACAATTTATAACAGTGGTCAAAGATCATACATTCTAAAGGAGGGGGAGGGAAGTATTTTGCAGCTGTTGGTGTAATGAAGTGCAAAGAGGAAAATCACTTTTTAAAAAAAAAGAGAGACAGGCCTGGCATTTGAAAATTTCACAATAAACAAACCAATTTTCACAATAAACCAATATAAATCTATCCACTTGTTTTTCTAAGTTTTGCAATACTTGGTAGGTGATCTGTGCCGGTTGCTATGGTCCTTAGTTTTACTAAGGCAGAACATACACCAAAGCCAATGGAATTTTACTGGAGTAAAGACTTAAGGATTTGGCCTTAAACATTTAAATTTTTGCTCTGTCTAATCATCTTCCCATGATCCTGGCATACTGAATTTGTGATATTGGTTTCCACAGCATAGGACTGATGTCATAAACACACAACAATGAGCACATTGCAGGCTCAACTAGGACAAAGGGCTTAGTGCAGACTTTCACGTTTGAATAATTGCTCAAATACAGAACAACAAAATATTGGACAAATAACTCTAAAAAAATACGTATACTCTATTTAAAATTTGCTCAGCATGGAAGTTCACCCCTTGAGAAGCACACTGAAACCTGCAGTAAAATTAAAACCAGTGAGGTAGGAATTTCTTACATGACTGTGCGTTAACTTGTTTAATCCATCCATGAGCTATTTCAGTTTTTTTAAAGCCTTCAGTTTTTTAATTTGACTCTTTTAAGAGAAACTTTAGCATGGTTATGGACCTAAAAATTTAGCATTTATTATAACAGTGTAAAAACTTCTTGAATTGATGCTGGTCAGGTTTTTTCTGAAAAACTGAACCTTTTTTCATACAGAAGAAAGTAACACTGGTGAAAAACCTATTTGCCGTGCAGGAGAAAGGGCCAGACCTCTCCAATAATAAGTGTCTGGTGTATCACATACAACAGATCATTAGCCTTTGGTAAAATTAACAGCTTCATGTTGCTGATATGAACTAAATTTCTCACTGCCTCTGTCTACCATCACAAAAACTCCATTCACCATCCATATCAACCATACTAATGAGATCCTGACTCAGCACATAGCACCTCCCGATGA